CTTCCGTCATTCCTTCTACGGTACAACGGGTAACCACCATTGCATAATTCAGTGTGATCCCTATAACGCTTTGGGTATCCTCTTGAGCATTTAGAAGAGTCCGCTTCGCGACAAGCAAGCTCCGGTCGCTCCGAGCAGGGTCCATGTATCATGTGTTTCTTTACGAGGGTGTGAAAACGAAGCTTCTCTTCTCTCTTGGGGTCATCGGCGCTAGGATACTCCGGAATTTCAGCGCATATGATGGAGTCAATCTTTTCTGGAGTATCAATCTTATTTTCCAAAGTTATGAGTAGATGTGCGTGAGGCATTCCTCTTTTTTGGAACTCTATACTCCCATGTAGAGCTACCACTTTACCAAAAATTTCCTTTTTCTTGATGTCATGGAGCAGCTCTGTAAGTCTCAAAAAGAATACACGGCAGCACAGAATAGGATCCGTGATCCATGAGTCGAATTTACCAGGCAAATTATTTTTAATCTCAGGCCAGTCTTGACTCCCTGTAAACGTGATAAATAAATCCGGCTTTCCTAGTCTTTGGGCAACTGCCATGGCATCACTATAAAGCTTCTGGTACCAGCTACGGCTTCCAACAAATTTCTGGGGCAGATTCACTAGCTTTCCCAACTTCACTCCTTTCTCCTTCAGTTTGCCGTCTAGATATCTGAATAAGGAGCTTGCGGTCGAACTTCTCAGTTCCGTACGATGTAATCCAATGCTGCTTAGTCTATCGGCTTCAATTCTTGCAAATGTGTGAAGCACGTATTGCGAGTATAGCTTTCCCGTCCCAATTATACGATGTTTCTGTAAATCTCCTCGACGGGCAAGGATGTAAAGAGCGAACTCCCTTCGTGAGACGAATCGTGTCTTACGCTCATCCTTTGATTCAAGCCTACTATCATCAAAATCATCGTTATTATCTTCTTCGTAGTGTTCTTCCAGCAACAGTCCTGGATCATTTTCACTAATTTTTTTCATCGTACAATGACTAACACGACGTTTTGGCAGTTTTTCTTTCACGAATGTCTGCTCTCCACGAACGAAGTATAACGGATATGTTAACGGATCAATGTTGTAGCTGTGATGTGGCGCTATCGTTTTCCCTCCCCTAGACATAATTCGCAATCCTTCGTTCAGTTCCTCATGAGTTAACATACCACCGTCCTTACTTACATAAATGGCGGCAATCTGATTTTCGAACACAGGTACATTGAGTCTTCCTGGGTGAATATTCGATGTTAAAGACGGCGCAACATCTCTTCTTTGCTTTATATTCATTATAACCTTTGGAGAATCTCCTTCTTGAGTGTGCTGCTTTTGCAGCTCTTCCTTGTATATCTCATACATTGTCATGTATGATTGCACAATGGGATTGTACTTTCGCAGTATATCCATTATCTTACGTAACAATGTGAATTCGACTTTACTATCCCACAACTTCATTGTTTCCTCTATTGATCGTTGTACCTTGAAGTCGTCTGCTATGAATAACTGTGCAAAGCATGCTCTATTGGAATCCGGATTCAAATGACACAGTCCTATATCAAAGCGGCCTTGTAACACCAATGGTCTTTGACCAGAAGATCCTTTGAATGACCTCAAATTTAGGCACAATCCGGCACAAGCTAGCATATTATTTATAGGACGAATCATATAGAAAAGATTTTCATCCCGCAAAGCAGCGTCCCAAAACCAGTCCAACAAAGGATCCCTTCGAGGATTGAACATGCTTTCCGGTACAACCACCTCACCGTCGTTGCAGCAGATAGAAGAGCTTTCTTTCTGGAACAGCAGTGCCCCACATGCGGGACATATTTTGTTCATTTCTCCCAGCGTGAAAATCTCTGCTTTACTGGATCTTATCATCACGTTCCGCATCTTACGTCTCCTACTTGATGGGACAGGAACTTTCATCAACAATCGTATTTCATCCAGTGTTTTTCTTATTTTGTCTTCAGTTGGGAGGTGGATCTCAACAGCAGGATGATTTGACATACGATTTTCTACGAAGGCGCAAATGCCAACCACTTGCACTTCAAACTGCGTCCAACTAAAGTTTTTCATGGTAGGGATGAGTGCAAAGCTAGGATTTTCGAAACCGTAAGCAATCGCTAAATTCTTCAGCTCCTGGCGGAAATTATTCTGTACACTTGTGGCGGTAAAATCAAGGATAACTCCTCGACTTCTACTTGGCGACGTTCTTGTAACCATAGCGACACCTAGTTGCTTTGTCCTATTAAGGTATAAGATGAAGATTGAGGAAACGTGACTTTCTCGCTTACGACATGCGTCACATCCCAAAACGATGAAGTCTGTTTTGTTACGTTTACCATACTTTAAGCGAAGAAACTCAGCAAGAGAACAGGGCGACAACCACGTATTGTCCATTGAGATATGTTTAGGTTTCGTATAGCAATGATCGTTTTCCACATCTCCTACTCTTGCTAGCTTCGTTGGAGGTTCCAAGTCACTGACTCGAATGTCAACATCCTTATCGTTATATTCTTTTGCCGGTTCCTTTTTGACACTCATATGCTGCCACTGCGCCGAAACCCAAGACTCTTTTGGGACTGACATTGCAAACGTACGCTCTGTAGCTTGACCTGCCCTCTCTTCTGGCACATAGCAGGACAAATTTCCATTGTGATCCAATTCCCCTGTTCTACAAAGCATATCGGAAGTTGCTATGCGATTTCTGATGTAGTGCCGATAATCCTGTAAAAACTCAGCTGTGGCAACCTCTTGCACTGTTCGTTCTTCCTTACAGAGACGCTCTGCATACATGCACACGAAAACACCACAACTGTGCCCATCCTCCTGCACATGGACACCACCAGCAGATTCGACCAAAATAGCATCAAGACTTCTGTCTGTAATCTTACGCCATGTCGCCTCCAACTTTGCCCGTTCTTGCAGTGGAAGAAGCCGCGGCGAGTACGAGTAAATATGACCCATTGAATCATACAAAACTATGGTTTTACGTGCAGGCCGTAGCCAGGCAAGGGACCAATGATTGCCGTACATATGCAGTGGAAATAGCAGTTCCCCATCCGTAATCGGATACCCGCGAATGCGATACGCGTCCTGTGTTTGTATGAGACAAGGATCAAGCGGTGTGAACCTGCTCCCATCCGCAACAATACTTATAAACGCATGAATGACTTCATCGCTGAGCCAGCTATTACCACTCAAGCAGGATAGCAAATCCTCCGTCAACTTGTGCTGAGTCCTCACTGTGTAACGCGACTGCATCCCGATACAAGAAGAGATATCAGACTTTCCACACAACTACGAAAGTAGCTAACGAAATCCTTATATTTGTATAATTATATCAAAGTTTTCGTTTGAAGATAGCCGAAAGGAGTTCTCTGTAATAAGGGATATTATAGACGTAAAAATCCCAGTATGTTGTACAAACGTGCACGATGGAGTGGTACGAATGAAATGAAATGAACTACCATACACACAAACACACTTCTATATTTCAAAACAAACTTCAACAAAGTAATATATATAAGAATCACTCCCATACTAGAAAACAATACCTAATGCACTGTTCCATGTGTTAATAGCATCCGTCCTTACGCCAACAAGAGGGACAGTCCTCTTCATCATTCCCAAGCTCTCCCCACAACTTCAGATGCCACTCACACCAGGACAATATCGTCTGCAGTACAATTTCCCGCTCAGATAAACAGTCCAATCCGCACTTCAGCAACCGTGAACCAGTTAACAGTTGAATGAGCTGAGGCATCACAGCATTTGGTATGCCAGATTTAATCAATTTCTTCAGCCAAAAAAAGGCAGTGACCGCTTGCACAGCAATTTTCTTACTTCTGTATACGCCATTTTCAGCACTTAATAAGCACCGCAGGAACAACACGCTATGCATCACTTCATCATATGTGTTTTTTTGGTGACGCAATAGAATGAGACGTTGCCAGCTTGTTTTTGTGCCTCGAGCTAGCCATCAGCCCCTGCTTATAACCTCGTTTTTGAACTCTCCGTTCTAGCCGTTGCACATTGTCAGCTGCAAAGAAGGAGAAACCGAGACGTTTTCACTGTTGATCGCTGACTCTTTGATGAGTACTGTTTTAGTCTCATCTTTTTCGATTACCGTTTTACCTACGATATATACCTTGAGTAGGAGGTTTTTCTCCCAATCCTATAAACTTATTTGTGGCGGCATGTACACTAACTATCGCAGAGCAGAATCCATCCAGAACCCAGAATCCAGAATTCAGCAAGCCTCCCAACTTTTCAAACGGATTCTCACTTCTAGTCTGATGTAACGACTGTCGCGCTTGTGCAATGGAATGTCTGAGGGCATCCGCTTAAATTTCGCAAAGCTTATCCAAACGCTGCCTTTAAAGATTTGGCTATACATGACTGCTGCTTCCTATCGCTATCACTGTTACCGCTGTTACTGCTGTTCAGTAATAGAATACGGTGCACTCTTATTTTTCCACACGAGATCTCACCGAGTGGTGAGTATGTTTCTTCTCAAAGCGTATGTATGGTCCGTGTTCTATTTGCCCTTCATGGCGTGCTTCAAAAACATAGAAAAAAATGCACAACACGCAGACTTAGTATTGTTCGACACGCGGGCAGCAGTAGAAACGGTGAAGTAAAATCCTTAAATTACTTGCGCAATAATTGATCAGGTGAAGACGTCTAATATACAACTGAGATGAAGAGATGTGTGATTTAACAACTTTGTTAAATTTTACTATTTTTTAATCTGTGGTTTTCGTTCCCCCCTTTGTGTACTCTACCAGCAGCCTCATCTTATCAAAGGCGACCCCGTCACCTATGGAAAGGTCGGTGAGGGAATGACTCCCCAATCATTTCATATAAAAGAAACGTAGCGTACGGTATACTTTCATTTCGTAAACAACTTTTGTAAGAAGCACCTTTTTGTTTGCTAGCTTTATGCTGTTGCTTTGAATTGTATTGTTTGTCTAGTCCGCATGTATTTTAGTTTCAAATTTCAGCTTATTCGCTATGAGTTATCAAGTACTCCTGAATGTGCGCGGGGAAAGATATCTAACTACCACGAAAACGCTTAGAAATTGTCCGGATACGAATGACAAAAGTCTTTTCCTGAAGCTTTCTATTCCGGTGGGTAGATTCTTCGCATAAGGATTATTTATTTTTTATGTGCAGCGCACGGGAGAGCTCTATCTCGATAGAGATCCAGAACTTTTTCAATGTATTTTCCTTTATTTGCTGGATGGAAAACTTGTGTTGCGATACTACGACGACCTCTTAATCGAAATGCTTCAAGAAGAAGCAGAGGTTAGCACTTGTTCTGCCCAAATTATGCGAGATGATTGGCTACGAAAATTGTACCATTCGATGCAACTTTTTTCCTCTTTCTACCAGCTGCCTTCTCTTTGCAAAACATGCTCAATTAAGGACGAAATCACGGTATTTCTCATTTTGACGAAGTTCAATGAATCTAGTTTGGTACTCTAAGATTCAAAACCCTTATGTCTCGAAACAAAATTGCTCAAACAAAAGTTTAGAAAGTTATGTATCAGTACGCACCTGTGCGATAAGAGATGGTGAAATTCAGATATAGGTGATTTTGTCGGCAAGAGTCGCTTTTATCACAAACAAAAGACGGCTGTTGAAATGTTCAAAAGGTTCGTCCTTCTGCTGGTTTTAAGGGCACTTGACACGTCTTCACCAAAAGTTTTGAAAATTAGTGAAATGTGGACATCTTAAAAGTAGAGGGTGGCAAAATTTTGATTGTCTCAGCGCTCCTCATAAAAATCACGTCGCGAGTATAATTGCTGGAAAGAGGAAAAAATTCTGGATTGAATATCTTTTGAAGTATTTGTTTATCATTATTTTGTATGATTTGCGGGTTATCCAAAAAACGGAAAGCACTTTTGCACCATCTAAAAGAGTGCTCATTCAGTATTTTGGTTTGCCTAGTTTGGCGCACAAATTGAGCAAATTGAAGCCATTCCAAGGGGTTTGTATCATTGCAGCAAACGAAGAAACTAAGTATTCTGAAAACACGGACTATGATAGCTAGGTATTTGTAGAGACTGAGCTAAGCACAAGACAAGACCATTCTTTTTGTTTATTCTTTTAGGCTGTACAAGAATGTGGTGGCACCGGTTTTATCTTTTGGAATTTAATGATCAGATCCTGCTGTTATATTTGCTAACGCATAGTCACAATTTCTTTTTTTCTGTGCATGCCCTAATCAACTTTCTCCGAAAATCGAATTTTCTCTCATTCTTTAAAATTCTGTGTATTGCGTCTTGTATGTCGGTGTAACTTTCGGTTTTCTTTTACAAATGAAATGATTTTTTTGTTATCGTGTGCAACTGCCAATGATTACAAAGACTCGAAGATGGATCGCCTGTCTCTCAGCTAAAATGTGCACGATTGTAATCATTCACAATCACGTCAATCGCCAAGTAAAAGCAGTATTAGTGATTGACTCAGTGTACGGTTAAGATTTTGCAAAAGAGTACAACTTATTACCCTTCTTTAAGGGTTTTATCGAAATTGCTTGTTGTTTTCAAAGGCAAATTATCTGGTGAAGTAACTACAGAAGTTGATAATACGTCTAAAAAGAAGCAAGGTGTTCTTGAGGATCCGGCACCTTTTGTACATGCTTCTCTCTGCAAAATTTGTGATCATTAGAAAACTTGTGATGACCTAGGAGCCGAAAATTGGCATGACAATTATTGAGTGCTAAAGGCGATTTGGCACGTGGAGGTAACTGGATTGCTAACTGGCACTTCACCGACGGGACTTCTTTCTTAACTCCTAGCAAATTTTGGTTAATTTGAACGTTGTATCTTGGTGTAACTCTGCAAGCAGTCATACTCTTTTCACTTAGACTGTATGCGCACCATGCCTTTCCAGCTGAACTTTTTGATCAAAACATCACTAGATGAAGTTTATCAGCTTTTACGGCATTGAAAAATTGTTATACGAGGTTTTGATGACCCGATACAATATTTCTCGCACCTGGTAGCCAATGGGCCGCTAGTACCAGAAATGAACAACAGATAGTTTTACAGAAGCGAGTCCAAACTCCAAGAAAAAGTTCAGCATGTTATCCGCACTCTGTACACTGACACTTTGATGAATCAAAAGATGTTAGAAAATCAGGAATGAGATGAATAAAAAACAAGGGGGATCGACACATGATCATGCGTATGAAATATTGTAGAGTTCCAAAATGCAGTAAAACAAGTTGCATAATTATTGCTTAGGCAGATTTAAATTAATATATAGAACTAGTTTCGTAACAAAGAAGAACTTCAGTTCTGAATTTAAATGTGGTAAAAGTATGTACGACAAGAGCAAAGCGTCTGCTTAATAAGGAGGAAATTGTTTATCTCCTTCTTACTTATTGCCGCCGCTTGTACGAGGAAACCGGACCGATACTACGACCTAGAGCATACTCAAGAGGTTCACTACAGCTTCAGACGAAATGGCCTGATTGAGATTTGATTTCACACCTCCACACCTTCTTTTGCAGTTTCATCATTTCCAAGTAATCTTGCGAAACTGGCTACTAATTCCGCCACCAAACCGATCTTGCCTTCAAAGTCTGAAACAACATAAAAACTTTAAGAGATTCACTTTGTATGTAGATTAAAGAGAATCCGCGCTTAGTACTGAAATTCACCTTGCTGTATGAATGTCTTCGTTTCCTTAATCTCTTTCGTTTCACCTAATACGTCCACTACTGGCGGAGCAAAGACCGACACTCTTCTCTGTAATAGAAGATAACTTATCGGAGAAACAAAGTGCCATGGTGTTGAATGAAGCGCTTTGTTATCTCCGATATCACGCAAGATGTTGCATTTCAGTAGAGCGATGGTCTTTATGTAAAGCAACTATAGCTATAAATTGATATACCCCAAAGTTAAATTTGGTTCCGAACTGAGGTTAGACATGAGGAAAAACTTTCATAAAAAACAGTCAAAAATGGCAAGTGGGAATGAAGAAGTACAAATGATCCGTCCGTCTTAAGGGTCGGACATACTTCACGCGAATTCAGTCGCGACGCGATTTGGCAACTCGCCAGAAGTCTTCAGATCCAACACTAGCAAACTACAGATGCATAGTGTGTTTACGTGGCTTGATAAAATGCCTTATCTTCTGCACAATAAAAAAGTGTTTACAGTGAGTTATAAACAGTTAGAATATTGCCAAAACGCGTCGCGACTGAAATCGCGTGAAGTATGCCTGGCCCTTTACGCAGAAACTGGAAGCTGCTGCAGGGAAGATGAAAGAGAGCGGACGGTAGGAGAGACGATAGCGCACTTGATAGAGAGACTCAGACAGTTTCCGCAGTGGCGCATTTCTCTACGTGCGATAACTCGTCTATTCGGAGTCAGCAGCGGATAGCGACAAAGGTAGCTAATAACCAGCAGCGAACCGAGGGACCGGGAGGGGGGGGGGAGTGTAGAGGGACCGGAAAGAGTGCTTTTCCGTCATCCGGAGCAATTTTTACGAAAAAAAGGATAATGTTTTTGTCTCGCACCATATTTAGTCTCAACTTTTTACAATTAGGAAAAGCGTCAATTTCTGCCGAATGTCAAACAGAATCATAATTGACAAGTCTCCTACATGTTTGACAAATTTCTAGAACATCTGTTGCCTATTTCCAAACGTGAGTTCAATCTTTTCCCAAATAATGACCCCATTTTGTTTCATTTTTAGAATGAACATTAACGCTGGAAGAATACGATCAAGTCTTCTCTAACATAATGAAGTGCTCACAAAGACTGTGACAGCAATCTTTCTTTACGCCGCGAAATAAGCGGCAGCGAGGTTCTTCAAGCCAGTCTTATATATAAAGCTGAATGTCTGTTTGTAGGTATGTCTGTCTGTGTGCAAGTATGTTGCGAATAGAAATTTTTATTTCTGAACCAATTCGAACCAAATTTGGCGCACATACACTTCTTCGTGGCGGAGAGGGGAGCCGTAAGCCACTTTTCGCCATTGATCGATATCGACTTTATCGATTTTTTGCAAAGTTAGCTACGAGGCTGGGAGTTGGCACAAGGGGGTAAGTGAGCATGCTGATTACGAAAATATTATTTGTGGGCCGGGCGTAGCCGGGTTTGCCAGCTAGTTTTTTTTAATTTTTGCCTTGGTGTATTCGCATGACGGAAACAATTTGTGGAGAAAAATATTCTCGAGCTATTGCTGAAGACAAATTAGATGTCCCAACAAACGCTTTGGACAGTTTTGCTTTCGTGAAAAAAGTAGCTAAACACTTTTGTTCCAGCTCAACTGCCTCCTCACCGGAGATGATTTTGAATAAGACATGTCACACTGCATTAAAATGTGTTAGTTTTATCGTGATACTGGCCGGGGGGAGGGGGGCGGGCAGTCTTCACAGAATCTATGGAGAAAATCTCTATGCCATGGCATGTATTTCACGTGATCTTGAAAAAATGGATTCGGATGACAAGAAGTACTCCGGATTGTTTTGAAAACTCAAATGCATTATAAAAAATGCGCAAGTGGCTTATTTATAGTTGTCAACATTTTTTCGAAGGTTAAAATTCTTCCAAAACTTAAATCAACCTTGTAAAAAAACCGCCAAGCCCACTTTTTCTAGAATACCGTGGTTGAGCGGCCTACAAAATATTTGGGCAGAATCCCACAAAAATTTTTGGAGTGCGTGGCCGACGTCGCGCGCTTTGTTTGAAAAAAATTTTCGTCGCCCCCCCCCCCCTCCTCCGGATGTAAATCCTAAATCCTTGGACTGCCACTGCTATTGAGTACAGCTTGTTGTACATATGTCAAATGCAAAGGACTATGGGATACCACTTGGTATAATACCCCACCGCTTCTGCGCGGTATAATACCCCACCGCTTCTGCGCCGCTTGCCATAAAGGCAGTGTCCCGGCAGATTTTGCATTTCCATCTTCTTGCATTTTTTGGGCCTTTTCGATCCGTAGACCCCGAATTTAAGCCTTGAAACGGAAAAAGACCTTTTTCGAGGCGTTTACTCTATTTTCAAAAGGCAGCTCGGACGAGAATTTCAATGGAATTTTGGGAAGCCCCGGCACGAAGGCCCTGCCGCCTGTAATTTTTGCTTTGGATAACATGCACAATGCGGAGAGTGGTAGTGGGGTCCCTCGCCGAGCAGGTAAGATAAGTCGTCCGAGCGCGCGCCAGTTCGAAGACCATTTTCTCGGCGTGGGGGGAATATGAACAAGCCGGACTGGGCCTGGAGCGCTTAATGAGGTGACCAGGAACCCCACCACAGCTATATATAACCCCTGAAGTGCGAATCTACCGGGACGCTGCCTATAAGTTTTACTGTCATTGCCCATTTTCGCACGGTAAAATCTGTACACCATGTGTTTGCACGATAAGCGCTAATGCAAATTTTTGCAGTTTGGCGACAAAATACCTGCGCTCAGTTCAAGTACAAAAATCAGCGGAATTCAAATTCCGTGTATAGGTTTTCCGAAGCTAATGCGATTCCATTGCTGGGGTAGTCGCAAAGGTGCAATTTTTTATGTAAAATCCAGGTGTAACGATAATTCCAGGTTCAGGTATAGGAAGGAAATTTGTGAAAAACACAACACTGTTCAAAAGGAGGCGCTTCGAAGAAGTGATACAGAAAAGTATATATTACATTCCAGACGAAAAAAAAAGAATCTAGCCTGTGCCGTCATATTTTTCAAAGAAAAAATCACTACAACCTGCAACATACCCGTAGTACATTACCGCTCGTATTTTTTTTTACAAAAACGACGCAAATTCGCTCTTTTCATGTGACATCACTGCAGCGTGGTCATATCTCGCTTCAGAGTGGACGAGTTCTCAATCCAAAGGCACCATTCGACTCAACTCGGCGCTGCGCATCTTCTGATAAGTAGAACTACCCGCTTGGATGCGATAGGGGGCCAGATCCACGAATTGTTTCAGATTTTTACTTGCAGTAGGCTACCCAGCGCGCTTATTCATTACACTGACTGGGTAATCTACCGTAAGCAAAAATTTGAAACAATTCTTGAATCTGGCCTTCTGCTGTGTTCAAGCGGGCACTTCTATACATCAGAAGACGCTCCGCACCGAGCATTGAACGAAGCCCTTGTATTGAGAATTTGTCCACTTGAAGCGAGATATGGCCACGTTACGGTGATTTCACATAAACCGGGTGACTTTGCGTCGTCTTTTTAGATGTGAGCGGTATTGTGTATCTACAAGAAACGTGAAAATCGTCGTAAAATTTGCAGGGCCTCAGTTTGTGAAGCATAATTTTAGAAGAGCAAATATCGTCCTTTAAGAAATTTTCCAGCACGAAGGCACACAAAAAACGGATTTTTGTGCCCAAAAAACCATAGCAGTGAACAGTGTTGAGGATCACAAAGCCATACCTTATCCTTTTGAACTGTTAGCAACTCTGTTGGTAGGGCGGTATCGCTTGTCAACCATTCGGTTTCAGAGCAAGGAGCAAGTGCCTCGCCGAGCATAGTCTCGGAAAGGGTGTGTTCTGGCGGAATAGCCTAAACAGCGCAGATTTCAGCGACAATTTATGGTTGGAAAGGTGCTTACAGGTTCGTTTTCTGTGGTTTTGGATGTCACCTTCTCCTTGAATTCGCTCACTACCTTGGGTGCTGCAACCAGTTTGGGCTCAGAAGAGGTTTTCTCTCGTTCAGCAGATGCTGAAGCGCTTCCACTACTTTCTGCAGATCCTTCGGCGCTGGATTGAGCACTAGCATTTTCTTTCTTCACTGTATTTTCTTCTTGCATGCTCTTCATAGAGGATGAAATGCAGGTCGACCACCGCGTGAAAAGAAAAAAGTAGAATGCACCTGCATTTATGCCTAGTAAGCCGTTATGTGTTAATTGTTACTCTCAAGTGATACGACTAGTAATGGATGAGAGGTCAACTTTTCTACCATCTATAAAACGAAAATCGGTACGGATGGAACTTCAAAGTGAAATCAGTTTGGTAACGCTACATTACTTATAAAAAACCGTTCTCCTTGCAGCCGGAAATAAAGCGAATGTTCAGAATTCGCCAGCAGTTAACACTTCCAAAATCTTGTGTACTATGTTAGAGGTAAGCCAAGATAAACGATAGCACAAATAAGCACAACTGTGCTCCTGCGATTGTCGATGTGCCGTTCATATTGCCCGTCCTTATTGATGCAATATGTTCCTCGCTGAATCAAAAATGTGTCCGAAAATGAGAATTCGAGTCCCCTGACAAGGGAATAGTCAGAAGTCGAAGTGGCCAAACCATACAAGCTGCACACCATCAGATGCAGCATAAAACGCTGACTCTAAATTTGTCTTCCTTATCGGCAGAGCGCTTTTGTGGACGAAATTATGAGCCGTTGAAGGCTATTATTTTGCTAAGAAATTGTGCGTGTAAAGTGCAAACTTGGCCGTACAAAGCCATTCTCGGCTCAGTGTTGGACCAAAACGTGCAACTAGTTCACTTCATATGACCCGTACCAAAAGGTGAGCTGAAAAAGCAATAATGTGCCTAATTTCGCAATTTTTATGTGCAGTTTTTACGCAGTAAAGCTGCTCATAACTTCGCCTGCAAAGGCGCTCTGCAGATATGGGGGACATATTTGAAATCAGCATTTTATGCTGCATCGAATGGTATGTAGCTTGTATGGATTGGCCACTTCGATTTCTGACCATTCCCTTGTGAGCTTTCATCGTTTTTTCCAAATTTGTCAAATATCATCACAAGAATTTAAGAATGATTTGACCTGCGCAACGCCTATGGTTGGCAGAAGCTATCGTTCATGTCGACTGCCTACTATGGTGACTACCTAAAAATGCCGATCTCAAGCCTTTTGAGTTCTAAAAGTCACGATGAACTTGAAGTGGATTGGTGTAGTTGTGAGATCTTATCCAGTCAACTTTCATGATTCAAGTCAGCGTCTGCAAAAGCGACTGCTAAAATTTTATAAATGTACCTAGAAGCTGTCCATAACACTTCAACGCGGGCTTCTAGCAACGAACCTTTTAGCAAATATGCAAATTTGAGTCGACTTCAATATGCTCATAATGGCGTAAACCGCTGTGAGAAAACACCATGCGCCCACACATTTCTTTGTAAGCTTGTTTTTAACAAAATAAATTCGATGTGTTCGGAACTATGCGGTGTGCGACACAAAGACCACAGATGGCAAAACTTCATTTCCATAAGTAGCCATTTGAGTAGCAAAAATTCTTTGTAAGAACAACTAAAACGCAAACCCTAATTTCTATGAGCTTAGATATTGTGGAAGTTGAGGTAAGTCCCCACTGAGTTCTTGACATCTGTATCCAACTTACTGTACTTTTTGTTTGTAGCTATACCATTTTTACTACGCTTTTCTACACTTGCTCCAACTATTTTCCTTATGGCCTCGGACAGAGTTCAAGCGATTTGGTCGTCTCGATTCAATCGCTACAAGACAACTGTTACGAGTTCATTACATGCCGATCAGCTTGCATTTCTTGTGATACTTTTTCAGCTCGAAATTTCTGAATTCAAAATGAGAATGAGTGAAAATCGCGACGATTAAATCGCGACGATCAAATCGCGTGAACTCTGTCCGAGGCCTATTGTCTTTCTATACAAAAATGCACTGCTGATCAGGCGCAGGTACAATCCACTTCATATGATTATGAGAGCTTTGCTGGAACTGCTATACTGATCAAGGATTCGCCTTCGTTCATAATTTTGTCTTTTACATAATCTCTATCCAATAAAAATGAACCATTTTCGAATCCGCGTGCTAGACCTCTGACTTTTAAGGACTGACGTCCGGGAAATACACGATACTAATTGTGAGGCCATACATATCAGAAGTTCGTCAGTTATTGGCAATTCCCTAGCATACGCGTAAGATGCAAGCCTTTGCAAATATCTGCATGTTGCGGGAAACATCCGTTAGCCATACTTTTTGATGGGCAGATTCAAATTTGAATGTTAAACGTACTGCAAAGGCAGACCTTCATCCTAATTTTCTGTTAAACTTACGTCTGGTGTTATAATCGTGTGCCTAACACAATATAAATCACGAGAATCATTTTCTGCATCAAACAGTGCTCTCTTTCGAAACTTGTCCGAATAGGGAATGGCAATGTTTTATTGCCGACAGTTGGTGCGAGCCACTAAATTACTATCCTACCCCTTAGCGAGCGAACTTCAACGAGGAGCAGAATGCCATTTTTTGCTAAAAATTTGAAAAGCACATGTTTAAATAAATATTTTGGCTAGCACCAACGATTTATGCTGAAGATAATTGCAGATAATTACGCTTGTGAACACTTGTAAAAATCCATATTCTCTAGTTCTGAATTTATTTCTCCTCTTTATTATTCTGAAAACTCAACCATTATAACAAATCTTTAGAAGGTACATTTCTTAGAAGTCCAAATTCTCCTTTCCTTGAGGTGATCATGAAGGTTAGCAGCTGCGTCGTCTTCTCCAGAATAAAAACCCACTAAATAGCTAAACAGTATGCCAATAGTCGTATTAGATTTCTGGCATAATAGAACAGCTATTGAGTCATGTGTGCAAATAAATGAGCTCTAGCGAGTTCGCTTGAGAATCTGAGTTGAAATAAACAAGCAAGGTTTTTTAGTGAGCGTTCCTCCTACCCACTTCAGTGACAAACCTCAGATTTTATGCTGAAATTTGCAGGTCGCCAGGGAAATCCTTGAGACCTCTTATGCACTTACTGGCAATAATGGTTTTACTAATCAACTACGAATCTCCTTTGCACATATATTCACTTCATCACTTCAAAAACTTCAATGCAATACATGACAGACAAATTGAGCACTGATACGATTTGTCGAAAAAATAACTGACAATGGATGTCTAGTTAGACATAAATATATTTCTTTTTCTTCCACTGGGTAGCCAATGTTTACTATAGCCTTTGTATACCCATATAAACCCATAGCAGAAGTCAAGGTTTACCTCATCATTTTTTTGTAATTTTGATTTTCAAAAACACAGTAGATTATAGTTTAGAGCGAGTGAGGTTGACAAAATTCTCCTTCCTAACTACTGAAAAAATTCCTTTCTGCTAACGTATTGTATTATACAACTGAGCTCTTATGGCTGGCTAATGGCTTGTGATTGATTTTTCCTTTAAGCCGTAGTCGTAACGAAGCTTTCGGAATGTGCGGTCACTTTGGAGCATTTTTTAGAAGATAAAGAATAAATTATTATGTTGTAAAATTTATAGCTATTCAGTAGAAAATTCTAGAAATGCTTCCATCTACGCTGTGAGAGTGATTATCACGACAAAAACTTCGAGAGCAATAAATTTTGACTGTGCAAGGTCTCATAGATTTGCGAAGAGACTTTTGATCTTTTTGTTTACAGAGTGCTTTTAAAAAATGTGGAAAAAGAATTCGTGACTGAGCGCGCAGAAAATCTCGCATAATCTCAATCAGATCTGTGACAAAATCAACTATGCATAGTTTTAGCGCGCAGATGACAGCTTGTTTGTCCTTCCACGGGTCTCGTGCGATGACAAACACATTGATCAAAAAGCTTAGGAAATTTTGATGTATGCACGTAACTCACTTTACTGCTGGACAAGGCACGAAGGTCACTTTACTTTGGTGTTAGGGGGCGGCTGTCCTAAACCCACCGATCGCATTCTATTGATCGCGGCCGAATCTGCGCAAACCTCGTCGTCGTCGTCGTGTCCGAGTTGCCCTTTGCCAAGGTGTTCATCTCAAGTGGTCCGTTTCCTCTCCCATATAACAAACATATCGCTTTTGCTTCATTTCGTTTGAGAGGATTTTTGGGCTATTTTTTGACATTCTTTTCCCTCAAAAGAGGAATAAAGCGATTTTATTCATTGTATGCTGGCATCCCTTCTACCTGGAGGATTAGCGTTTTTATAGCATACTGATGTTGGTTTTTACAACAAGCGAGGACCTCTCGCTTTTGATGTCATCCTCTGCTTCGCTCTCAAATTCTTTCTGTAAAATAACAAGAGATCTCCGTTTCTCCATGGGTATAAATGATTACTGGAATACGTGCACTGGTAGGCGGTGCAGCTGAGCAAAAAAAACTCACAGTTCAATGGTAACCTTCTCATTTATTTGGATATTTGATAATGCTCGTGTTTATTTTTCTTTTCTTTTTTCAACTACATAGTATACCATCTTGCGAAATTGCTCAATAAAATATAAATTTGATGCGCAACTGAATAGAATGCAGACAGGTAAAAAAAACACTGACTCATCCCCCCCCCCCTCGGGATGTATGCAGGGGGAAAGGGGTTTTGTATGTTCAAAAGAACTTACGGTGCAAAATAAATTGTTGGGAAACCATGAGAAGAATTTAGAAAATTCGTAAAAATTTATTGACTCTTGCCTTTACATTTAAACTTATGCTTGCTAAATCTGAGCTACAAAAATTGAGCGGCTAACGCCATGCCTAATCAATTAGGATTTTCTGCTACAGCTTTTCTCTTCTCAGAAAAATTCTGCAAGTCCCTCCGATTCCTGCTTTCTCTTTCTAGTTTATTTTTCTTCAAGCGCTCTCGTCGCAGTGCAAGCTACTTCTTAATTTTTCATTGAATCTGTCTTTTTTCGCTAAAGCTACCTATTTCTGTGTAAACCTTTGTCATCATTGATCTTTGAATGCTCTCCGATGTTTCATTTGACAAATTGTTAGAATTTTCCCGCAATGCTGCTTTGCTGCTTTCAGAAATCATTTGTATGACGTTATTAGTGGAGGGTTGCAACAAAGAACTGTTGTTTTTCGACCTCTGTTTTTTCCTATGTCGTTTCGCA